GGAGCGTTGCCGGCAGAGCCGCCTGCCGGTTTTCCGAGAAAGCAGCACCCCTGGCCTGGCGGGGTGGTTAAGGGAACGGCATCCGGGACTCGACCCGGTGCGAGCTGCCCTGCTGTGATCCTAACTTAACACGTCAAGACAAGTTTATACCAAGTCATTATTGAATATCTCGAGTTGGAAGGGACCCACAAGGATTAAGTCCAACTCCTGACTCCGCAAAGGGCAACCTCAAAGTGTATGTCTGAGAGTTGTCCAAACACCAAAAGGGCTTAGGACCACAACCACTGCCCCAGGGAGCCTGTTCTAGTGCTTGACCACACACAAGATGTACTTTTTTCCTTATATCCAGTTCAGTCTTCCCTTGCATCCCATCACTGGACATCTCATGAGATATAGTCATCACAGAATAATCAACTACAGAGTCTGATAATTTGAGCATGTCAGAAGCTAACCCAAGTATTACCCACCACTGCCAGCTTGCTCTTTAGATTGCCTGCAGTTCCCAATACGAACCAGAGTTAGGAACTTTGGCCTGTAGGGCAAAATTATTGCAGAGAAACAAAATAGGTTCACTAAGTTGTTTTTTTCCCTGTAGTAGGTACTCTGTTAGGTATTCTAACTACACATGTTAGACAATGCATATTTGTTTTGTCTGCTGAATTAGAACTCTAGGCACTTAGGTTTAAAACAGTAAAAATAATTTCTTTATTCCTGCTACTGAAGAAGCGAGTCATTGGATCTGAACATGCTACACTTCAGCAGAAGAGCTGAGTGCAAAAGTCATTGAACATGGGCAACAGTGTGATCATTTAGCCATAACATGCAATCTTAAAAAATCCTTTGAGAAACAAGTCACTGAAAAAACAGATAGGCACTTAAAGAATAAAGAAGATAATTACATCCTCTGTGAATACCATAGCAGCCTACTTGGAATTGTATTGGACTGAGCTTTGTTGCTGTGAAGAATACAGCTCATGCACAGGTATGGATGCATGTTTTGTACATTTTAAAGTATTCACCGAATACTACAAACATATATACACTCAATATACATAGTTCCAGAAGATTTAGGAGATTTACAGACAATGGTTCATTTCTGCTTATCCTTTGGAAGAGGTCTTCTGAAGAGAAGAATATGTGGTTCTGTGGAAATAAAATTGAAAAAACTGTCAGTTACCTAAGTCTTCATTACAGGTATTTCTTCCATTTAAGAAATCCTGAAGCTTGCTGCCAAATAACAGAGATAATGAAGTCAAGTTCACGAACAGGGCCCTATATGTACAATATGACCAACTTTCCAGTAACCTTACAACAGTCCAACAAGTGCTTTTGAAAGTATTATACCAAATGTTGTCAGTGCCAAACTTAAGATACTAAGTAACTCTGTCTCTCTACATTAGGCTACTTGGTGAGCTTTGTTACTGTAACTTAGACTCACAAACTGCTGATGCTGCCCTTGTTAGGTAGTGTCAAGTGTCAATAAAAGCCAAATGAGATAATACAGCCAGATTACATTATTATTGGTTTGACTTAATTGTAAACTCCTTCAAAAAACCCCTGAAGTATCAAAGGTACCAGGGTAAGAGAAACACTGGAACGATATGCTAACTTGGAAATTCATGCTGCTGCAGTTCATGATTAGTTACTTTTCAGTCAGGCTCATCAATTATAATGGCTGTTTTCAGTACATCCTAGTTGGCAGAGGTTTAGGTCTTTACACCCCATTAACTGAAAGACTTAAGTGCTGTATAGCAGTAGGCTGTATAACTAGAGTTCAAACTACACTGTATACTCTTCGGAGCATTAATACAGGACCTTGTTTGTGTGAGCATCTTTTAAGTCTTTGCACAAAAAGTATGTGTGCCAGCTTTACAATTTAAAGGAATGTTGGTAAAGTTTGGCTCAGTCATTGAGACACTAACGTTATTCAAGAGCTCACAGACAGCCTGTTTCTACAGGCAGAGGTAGGAACAGTTCCTAATCTGGCAAGTTTTGTGTACCGATAAGACCACATGTACATGGACAAGGACAAGGCGAGCATTTTGCAGTTCTGGGAACAAGATGTGAAAGTTTACAATGAAGCCTGTTATGTTGCCTTTGTTGTCAAATGGCTAAAATAGCAAGGAGATAAAGAGTCTAACCTGCCCACAGTGAATTCCAGCTGGATTCCACAGCAGGAGCAGTTATGCACAACACTTCACTTGAGCATCAGTTGATATTTTAGAATCTTTTGTTCATGTAATTCTGATCAGATGTGCTTACCTGGGTCATGGATCATATAGTGAACCCAGCCAAGACTTTGCTGAACACCAAGTTGTCTCCACTCCTCTTCAGACATAAGATGGGATCTTGGCACTTTTTTTGAAAGTTCTCTTGGCAGCATCACATGTCTGTAAAGGTTTAGTTATTAAACACACACTATGTATACTAATGCCTGTGTGTACACTAGAAACCTAGCACACATCTACACTGAAAGACAGTAAGTTCAGTTATGAATACCAGCACTCCCTACAAAGCCTAGGGTGCTGACAGATACCATTCATTTGATTACAAAGCACCCATCCCAAAATCCAGTTTTAAATTAACTTTGTCTGCTAAACATTACATCTGTAATACAACCGCGTATTGAAACGGTCAGCCTAATTCCTAGAAGAGATTAATTCCCCTGCATGCTCTAATCAAGATACCTGTTGAGAAGTATGTGTTCTTAGCAATTGGACATTTCTCAAATAGCTGATATAATAACTTCTGACTTAGAATGACTGATAAAGTCACTCTTGCTTGTACATTACAATTTGTAACAAACAGTATATTTTCCAAAGAGATTACCATGCTGGTTTAGAAAGCCAGAACGTTAACATCACTTAAGAGCTTATCTGTCAGCTCAGAAGAAACACAGCCTGCACTTCACATTTGCAAGTTCCAGCATCACTTAATAAAACCCAAAGCATTCAGTCTAATTTTTGAAAACAAGGAACTTGTAAGAGCCAGCTGGTAAGTGGAACACTTAGGTCTCTACACAGAGGTAAAAAATTCCTGATTTATAGTACTTCTTTCAAGTAAGCCTCAAGAACTGAATTGCGACAGTATAGGCTATAATCCAGAACTGACTGGTGCTATAACATAGCTTTGAAAGCTAGCAGATAGTGCTGAAGGCCCAGACTCTTCTCTCCCGGGAGAGGCGTCGCCACAGTCCTGAGCAGTGAGCACAGGACCAGTGGGGTCGAGCGCTTCCCGCCGGCAGCGCTGCCCAAGCCCACCTCTGCCACAGCCTCTCCGCTGGGGAGGCTTCGATCCCTGTCTCCGCAGCTTCCTTCAGCGCCGTCTGGCTGAGGCTTGCGTTGCCGGTTCACCAAACAGCCGTCCTAGACGAACCAGCGGAGATCGGCGCTCGAATCACCCTCCCCGCTCCCTAGCTGGTCGAAAGCTACGCAAGAATCCACCTTGGAAGGGGCAAGGCTCGGTCTCTGCCAGCAAGGTTTAAGTCCTCAGGCCCCACAGAACCAAAGCCACGCTTACTGCCACCACTGGCGGTGCTTACTCTCTGAGGGCACTTCAGAAGCCCCGTGAGAGGCGCCTGCCCAAGCCGCCCACCTCCGAAAGGGCCTTCAGGAGCCCCTTCCTAACCTCTCCAGCCGGCCCTCCCGCAGTCCCGTACCGGTACTCATATTGCTCGTCGAAGTACTTGTCAGA